ATAAGTTTTTAGTTAAATGAGTTACAACAACACCTAATTTCCCTCTGGGATCAATAAAGTGTTTTTGAATTTGAATTTGAATTGAATTCGGATCATTCTGACCCGATTCAGCTCGATCCGAATGAATTTGTAATTGGAATGAGAGGGGTGGTTTATGCCGATTGATAATCCGATTGACGTGCATGTCAACACTTAATCCGATCATTTTATTCTGATTGTGGAAAACTGACCTGACTGTTCATGTCTGCTGATTTTCATCCAGTGGTTTCTGCTCTTTTGTGGAGGGAGGGACAGCAGCACTGTAGTTTCCAGCAGCACAGAACTTTTCCTCCAGTTTTCTCATTCGAAGGAAGACACACAGCCTGCGCCGCTTCGCAAAAAACAAACAAACAAACAAAAAAAAGTCAGCGCGTCACCTGCAGCTGAACCAGAGAGTGCAGTAACGTCTCCATCATTATTAAAACCTGTCGCAGGTCCATTCTGAGCTCAGAAGCTGTTTGTTTTTGTTCATGATGAAAGTAGAACTTTTTTCTGTTTTTTTAAGGGAAAGTTAGCAACTGCACGTTAGTGCTTCTATTCTGAATAAAAGCCTGGTGCATGTAAACACTCGTCATGATCATATTGTGCACATGTAAACAATACATTCTGATTATTTAATCCAAATACATTTCAATCCCATCAAATAATTTTGCGCATGTAAACATAGCTGCTGAAGTGTAATAGAAAACCCCTGAATCGTGATGAACAGAGTTCAGGCAGGTCTAACTGTGTTGTTGAGGCGCTACTGGGAAAAGGCTGTATGTGACCCACCACATCAAACCGATGATTAAGTCAAATTTGGTCAAAAAGACCTCAGCACATTTTCAGATTCCTGCTTTTTAAGCCACATTTTATACCTGAATCATCCTGATATCATGAGTAGTTCCAGAGATATCCTTTGATTTGCATTGTCACGATAATACATTAACATTGGTTCTGAATCCTATTTTTAGATTATTCTAATGAGGAAATTTTGATGCCATTTTAAAGAATAAACAGCTGGAAGGAAAAAAGCTTTTGCAGTGTAAATGATTTATTGTTGCTCAAAATCAAGTTTTTTGTTGCCACTGTTTAAAAAAGTGCTTCAAAATACTCTAAGATTATATTTCGGTTTATTCAGATGATCCATTAAGAAAATATTTAGCCAATATATTTGGACTAAATGCAATTATTGCAAACTTTTTAATCAAAACACTATATCTGCATATGTGATGAGTCACATGTGTCACATGCTGACAGCGT